GTCACATGACCATTGTCCAATGTCTCTCAGCATCAACGGAAAGAGATTTAAAATGTTCTCAAACTAAGAGAACCAAACAGTAACACATTTATTGATTTTTTTATCTAAATGAAATTAATTGAATGTATTTAAATGATAACCAATATCTACCCTGTTCTTGATGAATACAAAGCACTACCAACCTAACAGAACTGTATACAAATTTACGTATACTAAGGAAACATGTTTCTTTATATATTTCTCATTTATATTATACAAGCTGCAGTTTTCAAAGGAGTTCGATGTTATATAATACCATTCATTAAGCACTTCAAATTACTATCAAGTTATTACTTTGTCGGCTTTATTTTGTGTAAAAAATATGATTATAGTTTCTAGTATTGAGTTATTAACTATTATTACATATCTAGTTCTGACCATTACTCACTTGATTTATCATTAGGGTTTTTTATCATTGATGTTGGATTATCAACATCTTTAGCAGAGCTGACAACTGCTGGTGATCATTAGCTATACTGAGCCTTAAGTTCATAAACTTTATATGCTCAATCTCTCAGTTCTTTTCTTAAAAAAGGCTTTGGATATTAAGGAATGTTTGCAATATTGGTTCATCTCATCCTTATAATAGATGCTAATTATATTATTGCATCATCGCAATATTTTCAAATCATGTTTTTGGGTGAAGTTTTATTAAAAATATTTCCAAGTAAAGTGACCTGCTTTGTAATTATAACTCTTTTAATAATATGTCCAAAATTCAATAAAGCTCAAGGAAATGACTTGAGAATCAACCCAAACCTCAGCCCAGATCACTATTACAAAATGAAATTCCAATGAGATTATCAGCAGAACTCTCTGCACGCACAAGAATTTTTCGCTTGAGCCCTTGTTTTGTCTGTTCATGTGCCTGTTGAGCATTGCAGGGCCTAAAGTTTTCTCTTGAGCCTCCACTGAGCCTGTGTAAGAAAATACCATTCCTCCCATTTAATTTACAAATGTTTACACACACA